GGTTCTCAACTTGTAATAGTTCTTTATGATTAAATAAATAAACGACACCAACCTGATTGCGGGATTAAAAAAAAAAATAAAATAAAATAAAAAAATAAAAAAAAATAATTAATTAAAGAAATCAATTTAAGCATATTATCAATAGTTCATAAAGAACTATTAGATATATAATTAAAGACATTTATAAAAAGGATCTAATCAATCTGGTAAAATATATTAATAAAATAAAAATTAAAGATATATTAAGAATAGTTACAAATTGAATAACAGAAGAACTTTGAAAATTCTAAAATTACAGATATACAAGATTTCAATAATGAAAGAAAAGGAAAACATAAGCAGAAGGAAAAAAAGAAAAGGATAACAAGCCAACATTTAATCCAAGAATATAGCACAATATAAATCCTTATCAAAAAAATAAAAAAAGTAAAAAGATTATAATAGAAATTTATAAATAATTGACTAGACCAGAAAAACAATATATTCAATTTTAACTTTTATTATTTATATAATAACAATATTAATAGAGCCTTGACATATTAACCTTGACATATGCCAAAAGATAAATTAATAACAAATAGCTAATATAAAATTAATTTGATATAGCATAATATATATTTGAAATAGTTTATATATAGTAATTCTTGTAATCAGAAATACAAATGTAAACTAAATAAAGTATGTTGAGCAAGGCCTTGCTAGTTAAAAAAAAAAAATAATAATGATAAATGAAAGTTTAGTAAAATGTTTTGCATTTAATATTTGTTAACAAAAAAAAAATTAATAATTAAAAAATTTTTTACATTTAATGCTTGTTAAAAATAAATAAATCTAAAAGTATAAGTAAATAGCTAAGATAAAAAACTAATAGTAAAATTTAAAAATAATAATAAGAAAAATTTTTAAATAAAGCAAAGATTAAATTATTTTCAAAGTCAAGTACGTATTTAAAAACTTAAACCATTAATAAGTGTTGTGCTTAGTGAATAACAATTAATTATGCATTGTTACACTAAACTATTTAGGTATAGCTCATTAAACCTTATCGTTGTTGAAAAACTATCTGGATACGTCATCAACATTCGATTCGCGATTTTGTATAAATTGTTAACCCAATCATAATCAATGGCTTTCAATCTCAGAGAGAATTAACAATGGCTACTACTATCTCTTACAATTTGAGAAGTCCAGGTCAGTGTGACATTTGAGAACTTTCAAAATTATATCTTCTGTACTCATTACCATATATTTATAGCTGTAAAACGCCTTTTACAAGAAGCTCGAGAATTACAACAAGATCAGTGTTGCGATTACACGGCACAGCCTCTTGAGGTAAGTTAGCTCCAAAGCTACGACTTAGTATTTTTGTACAAAAAATTTAGATATTGACCTTTTCAGGATAATCTATTTGAATGGCATTTCGTCATTCGCGGTCCTGATGGCACAGAGTTTGAAGGCGGAAGGTATGATTTTTAAATTTAATTATCAGAAGGAAATGAAAGTTTCTTGTGATTTATCCCGAATATTTCTTTCTGTATAGATATCATGGACGTATACTCTTACCATCAGAATACCCTTTTAAGCCGCCCAATTTGATGCTTATGACTGTATGTTTTTGTAATGCGCGCTTTATATGATATTTGTGCATGCTAATGCTTCTATTTTGGTAACTTATATAGCCAAATGGAAGGTTTGAGCTTAACAAAAAAATATGTTTAAGCATCACTGGATTTCACCCAGAACATTGGCTACCAGCTTGGGGGAGTATGTACTAATTTTAATAATTATAATGTGTGTTAAATCTAAGTTTAATTAATTTATCACATTTGAAAGTTCGCACAGTGTTGCTCGGTTTGATTGGTTTTTTAACAACTAAAGGTTTGTGACTTTTATATCTATTTAATTTTAATTTTATATATATATGAAATAATGTAATTCGTCACGAATTATAGCAAATGGTGCAATTGGTGGAATTGATTATACTGAATCCGAAAGAAAAATGTTGGCTTTAAAGTGAGTTAATTAAATTCAATTATTTAAACGTTAAGTACGATTATCGCTAACGTATTGATTTTTTAGGTCGCGTGATTGGAAGTGTCCCACATGTGATATATCTAACATCGATAAATTACCAGATAACCTTGATAATGCAGATCAATCTTTGACTTGTAATAATAAATCTAAAGTTAATGACATTCCTCAGTTTTCTTTTGTGTATGACGATGAACGACGCACGAATACAGCCAATTCTAGTAAATCACCTAAAGGTATTCTATGTTAGTAAACAATATACTTATGTTCTTTGAAGTATTTTCTAACCTTGTCTATGTATAAATACCTTAACATTCTAGATTCGGATAACAAAGAAAAAAACTCAGGGACTTTCTCCGAGTTCTCTGGTTCCGAAGTGGTTAAACAATCAAAAAATATTGTTGGGGAACAAAGTTCCATTTCAAGAGACATTGCATCAACACCTTCACAACAATCATCACGTTCACCAAGATCAATAATTATAATCGACATAATGATCACGATTTTAGTGACTATTGTGATTGCCTTGGTTACCAAAAAATTTTTGTAAATCTATAAATGGCTTATTTATTTGTAATTGGCTGACGATGTTCGTCAAAGTTGTAACGATTCTTTGTAATTACATCATTATTTATTTAGAATTTTTAATCTATTTAAGTGAGAAGTAAAATTAGCGATATATACTGTATATGTAAATTTATATCTGCTCATTACTAGGAATGGTAGGTATTTGAAAAGACAAGGTGATATACAGTATAATTGAAAATTATTGAGCCATTGTCAATAAAGGATTATTCAAACATGTTATATATTATTAGTTTATAGTTACAGTATATAATTAATAATCAGATTTTATAATCAATAATTTTATTTTATTTTTTTATTTTCTAAGTAGGCAAATATTATTTCTTTATTTGATTTATAATAATAAAAAATACTATATATATTATAAAAAATATATATTTTATATATGAATATAATAAATTAAATACTAGTTTGTTTATAAAAATCAAATAACTAATATTGAAAAAACATTATAAAATCGTGTCAAGTACTTATAAATACCTACTTAATATTAAAAGGGAAAAGATTAAAACAAATAAAAATTAATTTGAAAATATAATTTGAAAAGTTATTGTTATACTAAATAAAATACATATTTATAATTATAAAAAATAAATTAATAAAAATTATATTGATTAAAATAAATTTTAATATAAAGTAATATTTTTATTATATTATATATATATATTTAATTAAATTATTAAATATATAATATAATACAAATAAATAACTATGTAATAAAATTTTATAAAATTTATAAATCTATAGTTAACTATCTTATAAATAACTTTACTTAATACTGTTTTAATTAATATATTGATGTTTTTTTAAAATAATTAAAATTTATAACAAAAAATTTTTTTACTTTTTTTAATATAAAAAGTGATCAGAAATAAGTAAAAAAAAAAATTTTTTTTAATTTAATTTAATTTTTTTATACTAAAAAAGTTTATAAGAATATAAAAATATCATAAATATTTCTGAATATTTTTATATTTTTATATATAATTTTTTTAACTTTAAAACAAAATATAGAAAACCCTTCCTAAGTGCATCCCCTTGGATCCAAGAGCAAGTATGCATTTAAAGAAGGTGTGCATTTAAAGAAAAAAATATTTTTTAATTTAATTTTATATTAATTCCGATTAATCATCTTAATTTTGCCCGGCATTATATTAATTCCGGTCAGTTATCTTAATTTTGCCCAGCTTTATGTTAATTCCGGTCATATTAATTTTGGCCAACTTCGCAAATTATATATTAAGTGCATTAATTTAATATAAAAGTTATTGTACTGTTAAAATATGAAAGGTATATTTAATATTATTGCCCAACTTGGAACTATTAAAAAGAGTGCATTTAGAGGTGTATATTTAGAGAGGATGTATTTAGAGAGAATTTTCTGCATATCAAAAAATTATTATTATTATTTTAAAATATTTTTTTTATTATATCTTCAAAATAAATTAATAAAATATTAAATTATAAAAAAAATTATTTATTGAATTATTATTATTATTATTATTTCATAATTAAACAAGTATTTATTAAATTATTAAATTATTAATTAAAATATAATTATAAAAATTTTTTTTTTTTTTATATTATATTATATATTTATTAATTTGATTTAAAAAAATATTAATAGACCTGTGGGTCTATAGTGTAGTGGTTAACACTCCACAGATCAGATCACATTTTCAACAGCCTTGGAATGAG